GGAGGAGCATTTTACAGGGAAAATTTTAAAAGCCCCGGCTTTGGGAGGCATGCATGGAGTAAACAAATGCTGGAGCCTTCCAGGGGTTTGCTCTAGGCATTATTTTTGCCCTTTATCTTTGGCAGCATGTTGCATGCTCGCCGCTACCCTTCTGGAGAGCAGGAGCTACTCAAATACGTTTCAGGGGAGCTTCTATCTGCCCAGTCCCGTTTCTTCCCTTGCTGGAGGCACGTGGACCGCTCTGCATAGCTGGGCAAAGCAAAGAAATCCTTTGGCACGAAGGGCATTTACCTGATAAACCTGGAGGCTTTCTCAGGCAGCCCTGCCAGAGGAAAGGACGCTGGGGAGAACAATGCACCGTGGAGCTTGGAGATCAGGTTTCTCTGCCGGCTCCTTGCCGGCGCTTTGCCCTGCTCTGGCTGGTGGGAGCAGGTGTCTGAAGTTCGCCCTGCAGAGCCCGGCAAGCCTCATCGTGGCGGTCAGCCGGGCTCTGGCCTTTGGTAAGCTCTTGTGCCCATGCATAGGGCTCGCTTACTGATGGGGCGCGAAGCCGTTCCCCCCTGGCCTTGCAGTGTCCTCGGACCGCTCGTCCTTTTTGCATGAAAAATGCAAAAGATGGCACATGTATGTGCACAGGAGTGTCCTCTGGTGTGGCACGTGGTGTCCGCAAGCCAACGGGGGAGCACTAACACACAGTTCCCTCAGCCTATGGGAACAAAATCAACGACCCCAGATTTTCCCAACTAAAACAAAAAGGAAAAGAAGAGAAGAGAAAGAGAGAAACGCTGTCTTCTCCGTTTTTGTAGCTTTATCTGAAATTGTTTTTCCATCCCATTGAATTGCAGAGGAGATCCTTTTAGGGTACTTCAGAAGTGGAGGCCACAGTGTTTTTCTCTCTTTGCAGCCTCTCTTACGTGCTCAGATGTTTGTCTGCTCGAAATCCATTTGCTCTGTAAATAAACTTGCTTCCCTCATCACCAGAAAACTCCCACCGGTCAGCCAATACCAGAAGCATTTGCAACGGACCTTTCACCTCTGGGTTTGAACCCTGGGCCTGGATGTTGGGGCAAAATCAGCGGCAAGCCCGGGGCGTGGGGCCGGCAGCGTGCAGCGAGGTGGTGGCGTGGGCAGGCTTCGTGCCGTCGACAGTGGTGGGAGCCGGGCTCGGGGCTCTGCCTGGCCTCCCGGCCCCTCCGGCACTGGGGTTTGTCCATGGAGCTAACCCTGGGAGCCCTGCGGTCTCGCTGGCATGGCGACCCCAACCACTGCTTGCAGCAGTGCCGCAGCACAAGCCAAGGGGACGCGTGTGCGGCAGGGGCGAGCGTCAGCGGGGAGCGGATGCCTCCCCTGTGCGTGCTTGCATGCGTCATCTGGGGCATGCAAACTGGCTGGGAAGGCTTCGAATTAGCACTCACCCAAGACCATTTCTTACTCAAAGTGTGATTTCCTCCCCTTGCATTCCCCCTTGCTGAGGTCTGGCCCCTGCTGCCAGCACGTGCCAGCAGCCTGACGCGTCCCCCTGGCAGGGCAGTAGCGGGCTGGCATCTGGGGCTGTGCCCTCCGTCGCTCAGGCTTTCACCACTCTGGTGCTTAATGCAATCATATTGTTCTGCTCCTCAGAGAGCCATGAAGCTTTATGGCAAAGCAGCAGTTGGGAACGAGGTAGAAACAGGGCAGGTCTCAGCTGCTTTCTGTGATTAAATGGATATTTTTAGCTCGGTTCCTAGAGCTTAGATTGCCCTGTGTGCACCCAGACATTGATTCTTTTCTATGCCATTCTTCTCCTTTTGTGTGCACGTGGGAGGTGGACGTGGTAGGAGATACTGGAGTCAGGGTCTGTATTGCCTTCACAGTGACTTTGGGCTGGCAGGAGATGCACCTTCCCAAGAAGGATTTTCACTGAGCATTGGGCATTCAGTGGGGGATGCCACGTTGTTGGGTTGGGATCGAGGAGCTCATATGAGGGGATGGGGAAGGGGTAGGGAAAAGCCGAGCTGACCGGTTGTGAAGCCGCTCACCGAGAGCCTTCGTGCTTCGCTATCTTGTGTGCTCCCCCAGGCTCTTGCCTCTCCCTGTTTTTGCAAATTCTCCAGGCAGCTAGATAAGCTCTGGATGTCACCCTTACATCACCAAGGGCTGGAATAGCTGAAGTTTCATTTAAGAGCTCAAACAGCTGTTTTGCCGTAGCCTGGGCAGCTGTGCTTTGAGCTTAGGCTCACCAGAGGAGACAAGGCTATTCCCCATGCAAAGTCTGCTATTTCAACACCTGCCACAGAGCTTCGCCCAAGGCGGACTCGGGAGGGTTTGCTGGCGGTTGCAGGGCAGGTTTTAGTAACAACCCATACCGATGTCAGGCTGCGCAAACCGATTTGCCAAACGCACAGTGAAGAGGTGCTCTCCGCTCTCTCGACTGCCGTGTAATTGCTCCTCCTTGCGCCATTTGCCAAAGCTTATTTCGAAGAGCTGGGGTCCAAGTAATGGACTTGAGTAGCAGAGACGGTGCGTTAAGGCTCCGGCTCCCTCCATGCATGGCCCCACTTGGAGCTCAGCCCTTGGCTCACAGCTGGGGCTGTCTCCACAGGTTGTTGCTCTAGGAGGGGGCTGAAGCCTGTTGCCATCTGCCAGTGTCAGCAAGGGCTGTTTCGTCACTGTGGGAGGACAGCCTGGATGCCCTGGGTGCTCTGCAAGGCCCCGTGCACGGTTGGGCTCTCCCTAAGGGCAGCAAGCGGAGGAGAGAGCGGCCGGGTTCACCCCCTTTCTCTTTTCTCCCCAGTACGAGGTGTCTGGCGAGGAGCACCTCTACTCCGATTTCCCCGAGATTGATTTGTCCCAGTTGGATGCCAGTGACTTTGACTCTGCGGGCTGCTTCAGCGAGCTGCAGTGGTGCGCGGAGCACTCCGAGACCGAGTCCAGCCAGTACAGCACGGACGACTCCGAGCTCTTCCAGGT